GTGCCCTCCGCGTGGAGATTCGTCGGACCTTCCGGAATGTGTCTTCCGCTAAGGAAAATGACTTTTTACTTACGTGCTCCCGGCGAGAGGTAAACGGGAGAAAATAACGGGGACTTACGTTGATTGCCTCATTCCGTCATCGTTCTCCTACCCCTCTTATGTTTACGCAGTTATGTTTGCAGCGCGCCACGCCCACGGTATAACGTTTTGCTTCGCGTAATCGCGCTGGTTTCAAGCGAAATTAGAACGTGATACACAACTGACCGTTGTGCCCTGACCTTTTCCGATCTGTGCAAGCTCGCTGCGAATGAATCGCGAAATGATTCACCTGCGATCTCGATATTTTCGATTGCGCAGCAATGTTTCTAGTATATTTCCAATAGAACTGCAATGAACGCGGCTCACGAGCGGGAACGCGCACTCGACGAGAGTTGAACGAATTACACACATCGTAGGATTAATCGAGTGATTAATCGGGTAATGCCGAGGACATCGTAAGAGGAATATCGTTTAAAGAATAGGACGAACTGCTACATGCCGCGCGAATCGCATTCGCTGGTGGTCGATCGCGGCGAGAACGAAGATCCGCGTCGTCGCGCCGAAGCGACGAGGGGTGTAGCGTGTGTGCCGTTTCGTTTCGTCGGGATCAGTCAGCGGGTACAACTCTATTTGGAACGCGTTCAAACGTTGATGGAGGATGCCAGCTGAAGCGCGCGCGCGTCACCGTCGCCGCGGTTGGAATACCCCTTTCGCGTGGAAAGTCGAGGAGCACGAACGCGGAAACACAATGTCCGCGGATCTGATCCACCTGTGTCGCAGAAATACGTAATTCGATACACCGACCTAAGACAGTCAGACAGACGGACAAAGAGAGGGAGAGATAGAGACTACTTGGGCTACCTCGCGAGCGGACTGAGACGAGGAGAGAGAGATGCACCTGACCAAAGCGCGTTATTGCATTGCACCGTTTGTTGCTCGGGGGTATCGCATATATATATATATATATATATATATATATATATATATATATATATATATATAT